TAGCAGAGACTGAACACTGTTACCTGGTTTTGCAAGAAAATACTTGAGAAAAGAAGGGGGAAAAAAATCAAATACATATGTTCTTTAGTTTTCTGTTTTTCTTTTCATTTTATTTTTTATTTCCTATGGGAGTTTTTATTTGTTGGGAAGTTTTTTTGGTAAATAAAAATCCTGTGCATATGCTTTCTTCGTTAGAGAAATTGGAGTTGGGCATAAACAAATTATTTTTTCCTCTTTAAAAAAAAAAATCATGCTGCAAAAGAAAAGGCTGGCTGCCATTGAAACATTTTTGATAGAAATCTGCCTGCAGCCCTACTGCTTAATCAGTTTGGAGCAGAGCGTAGCCTGTAGCTTGTTAATAAGAGCAGCTTGCCCGAGCGGTTTGCACAATGGTGAGCTGCAGAGGAGGCTTGTTGCATAGCCGTGGATTTTATTTTGCAGCTCTGTTAATTAAAACATATTTTACTTTGAAGGAGGTTTTTACTGTTTTCTATGAGGGTGAGCAAAAAACTGTTGTCCTGGATAGATTAAAGGAAGGATCTGAAGTATTTCTTAAAAGTAACAACTTAACTTTGTTTGATAGGCAAACTCTTAGCAGGAACAATGTGTAGGTTCTTATTTTCATTTGTTCTCAGTTCTTGTATACAGGCTGGTTTATGAGTCTGAATATCGTGGCTGTTTTGATAATATCAAACTGAATTTTCACATACACATTGCCAGACTGGAACAGAAAAGTTGTCACAGATTCTTGTTTAATTGGTAAAGTAATTTTTACTTATACAAGGGTAAACTAAAATAATAAGGCCTGAAACTGTGCCATTTAAGTTAATTACAAAACCTTCATAGGTTTCACATAAAGCCTGTATTTTTATTATCTCAGTTCCAGTGACTTTTGTTGCAAGTTTGCAGCAAAACATTAGGGCATTTCTAAGTGTTATTTTTATTATACAAAATCCCATTAAAATCAGTACTGAAGCATCCCATTAATTTAAATGGGACTTTGCATAGTTTGTTGAGTTCCAGGCCACAGATAAAGAAAAGTATGCAATTTGGAGTTAAACTGACCGCAGCTTTTTATTAGAAGACATTTAATCTCAAACGAACAGTGCAGTCTGAGGCAGAAAGTCTTTGTGGACTTCATCTGGGCTGGTGCAATAGGAGCCTTCACCGCACGGCAACTTCTGGCTTGGTCATCTGGGACCTCTCAGGACCATGTAGTGTTCCCAAGCAAACCCCTACCCAGGTAGGTATGCAAAGTGCTCCCCAGGCAGCCTTGCCTTGGAAAGGCTGATAGGTAAGCCAGCACACCCCAAACAAATGGAAAACTTGATTCAGCTATTTCTCTGGCTCCGAGTGCTCTATTTGCCTTGACAAAAGCAAGGCTGGAATCAGTGGCCAGGAGCTGGGGTGTTTCTGCAGCAGCCCTTGGAAGGCAGAGTCTCACCAGGCTGGGGCCACACTAGGTTGAAGCAATGCAGTTTCACAAATCCTTGCTTGAGCTCCACATGCTGGAAACCACTTGCAGGAATG